GTAGATTACTCGCTGTGGCTCATAACAGATTAGATAATTTTATTGCATCTCGATTTCGACTTTCTGAATGGATTGCCAGAACGAAAGATGATATTATAATCGTGAATTTGGATTCAATGGTATTTAGGCATAGGAGTAATAAGGATCGAGCTATATCATACCTTATGGATATGAGACTTGAAACATGTGAATATAGTCCAACGGAAATGTTGTGCATGTATCAAGCATCTATAGCAAAACATTTAATATATATGAGTTAAACCGACTACCCATAATGTCTTCAGAACAATGATATTATTATGCTTACCTGGCATTAGGTGAAAAGTGAAAGCCACTTAGTTTTTATACGAATCTCTATCAGGAACAATTTGAAAAAGACGAATATATAAATCTGATAGAAGATAAAATAGAAAACAATAATGTCTTGGTTAAAGTAATTGATGAAGAAACTGACAATGGTAATTCTAATGATTCTGATGATGAAAACATATCTTCATTTGAACTTTTTTCGACATTAAATAAAGTTAACAATAATGATATCATTCATGATAATGATATTGATAGTGACGATAATATTGATAGTAGTGATTGTGATAGTAGCAATTATAGTATTAATGATGATGATGGCAATAGTGCGATAAGTATGCTTCATTGGTTCTGTGATGATCTGAAAAACCTCTTGAGACATAATGATCCTATATTAAATAATAGTATTCAAAGGTTTGTTAAATTATATAAGCAATATTGGCATACACAAGATATTTACGTTCATTTGACTATGGCTTCTTTTCTTCATAGTTATGATAGGGATGCAGGTTGTGTTAATAATAATGATTATTGATATAGTGAAAAGAGAATACGGGTTCAGGTTACTAGTGTCTCGCGACGTAGAAGGGGTTTAAGCCATAGACTTGAAAAAGTGCAACAAGGAAGACCTAAGAAGAACTTGCTAGTTAATAAAGCTACAATAAAAGAATTAGATAAATCTATTATGCCATTACGAAAAAAATATCGAAAAAAACGCTTACATAACTTAAATCAAGCTTTATTAGAAATGAGACCTAATGGTCTAAAATAGTTTTTTTAAGTGCATGTACAAAAATGCTATGTTCGAAATTAATAAAAAAGTCGAAATATTTCAATATCTTTGCATTATGGTTACACGACATATGTTGGATTTTACATTGATTTATCACGTGACCATCGTCTCATGATTCAAACCGGGCACAGATTCACTTTTCGCGTGAAGAATCCGCACGCGCACGTGATATATATATATTTTTTAATTGGATTACAGACACATGGCGCATGTGTATAGATCGATATCATGTGACTGATAATCAAAAACCCGATGTGTATTTGGAAAAACAACCTTTTTTTCAGAGTCTTCGGAATGGTCGCTTTTTAAATTTCTGAAGTTTAGACAGAATGAAGATACCTGGACAGCGGATAAGCAGAAAGAACATTCTACGTATATTACGACCTTAAGTAAGATAGCAAGAAATGGATCAAGCAAACAACAACCTATAGCAGTTTCTGCTCTGGACACTTTTGAAGTTAAGTAACAATAATAAAGTTGTCATTATTTTAGTAGGCACTGCATCAACGATAACTCAATGATTTGAAAAGTTTATCGTGTTCGATACGAACTTTTCTACTCTGAGTTGTTGATGATCCATCGTGTTCTGATGTAGCGCCTATAACCACGTCTACGCGCCTCAATGATTTGAATAGTTCGTTGTTGATCCATTGCGTTTGATATGGGCTGTTCAGCTCTGAGTCGTTTATGATCCATCGTGTTCGATGTGCCTTTCTAAGTCGCATCAGTTATTAAAACAATATTATTAGAGCAATCGCTAACAAAAATTTTTTCCATAGAGAGACGAGGCAAATACTAAAGAAGTAACAGAATTTTGGGAAGATGTGGAGAAGGAGCAAAATGTCAAAAAATTGGAAAATGTTCTTGAAGATTTAAATGTATGTACGATTCTTAATTTTTCAGCTCTTGTTTTATAATAAATAATAAATTGATATTTCTTAGAATGCATTCACTGTGGGGCGTACATTGGAACACAATAACTATATTAATGAAGTGGGAAAACAGCGTGCAAATTTGTTGAAAAAAGAAGGAAAGAACAGGAAGAGGTACATATGAACATTTTTTAGCTAAAAGTTGAGAATCAGCAGAACTAATTATTTTCAATGCTTTAGGATGATTTTGAACCGATAGAGCAAATCACAAAAAAAGAACAACATCGAACTAGAAGCGGAAGGAAAATTCCAGACTACCGTGAAATGACCTCCAGTTCATCTGAAGGAGATAATAATGTAAGCTCGTGTTACTTCCAATATTATTTTTCATTAACTGACCTTGTATTTATGTAGTATTTGATTGACAATTTCTTTCAGGCAAGTTTCGATCATGAACTGCCGGGCATTAAAGAAAAAACATCATCAATCCGTTCAACCAAAAGGGTGAGGCCGAGTGACTCTTTATAGCTTATTAATTTCTTCAAGCAACAAATAACTTATTGACATGTTTGTTTTTCCGTCTCATTATTTAGATAAAGTCAAACGGCCAAGAGCAGTCAGTCAACGAGGATAAACTCCAAATACCATCGGGATATTCTACACCATCACCACAATCAGGACCACCAGAACACTCAATACCAATTGAATCTATGGAAGAACCATATATGCGATTGGGGAATAATATCTTTGAGGAAGATTATTATAATAATGACATTGTGATTATTGATGATATGGATGAACTATGCTTTGAGGATGGGGACCCAGCAGACGATTATAAGTTAGGAGAGACTAATGTGTCTCAGTTATTCCGGAGGTATCAGAATGAGTCAATAAAGATTGCAAAGACTGGGGGTTTATTCGTTGAATCAAACGTACACGAAATACTGTCGCTATCTTCTATTTTTCTGCTTACCCCGGGTTCTCACTCAAATACGATGATCAATATATTTAGTTCAACTTTACTTAATAAAATTCATCAACAAATCACCCCAGCACAACAAATAGAACTAGATTCAGAGTGCGAATCAAAATTTAGGAAAGTGATCAAGCAAGCGATTAAAGAGTCACGTTACAATGCCACAAAATTGCTTTTAGCAGAGCTTTCAAACAATCAAACTTTGAATGAAAACTTGGGTTCCGTGATCTTGAAAGGCCTGGAAATATTACCTGGTGATAAGCTTAGGAATGAACCTAGCGAAATAACACTTATCACAAATTATTTGGACTATATTATGAAGAGTACATTTCATGATCCAGACAAACATATCGTCCAATGGCCAAATACGGCTTTGAATGAAAGTAAATCACGAAAGTTCGAGGGACGAACCAAGCAACCAGATTTCGTGGTCTCGATTATTCATCAATTTCAAACAGTTGCCGTTGTTTTTGTAGGTGAGGTTAGTCCTCCATCACAAAAAAATAACGTATATAAAAACTGCGGTGATCTGATTCGGCTTGGTGTCTTCATGAAAGACTGTATGGATTTCGCGATAGATAAAGGTGCCGATATTAATGTAATTGGTTTTCAATGTGTCGGTAAGCAAATTAAGGAATTTATGTCATGGTCCATATTGGCCAAGTTTCAGTTCCGGCATCGGTAAAAGAAATGCTATCCTTTGTTGATCAAACAGAAATACTTTTGGGCATACAAGAGATTTTTAAAAAATCCTTGGGTACTTTGTACGATAAGTTCTGCAACCCGAGTTTACCATCAGCAAAGGCAATGTTCAAACGTGATACCCTTAGCACACCAAAATTCAATCATCTTGTGAGCAGAACACGCGACTGTCACAGAATTTGTCCATTCTGGTTTGGACGTTTTTAGAATAGGGAAAATGATTGATAAAAATTTTTTCTGTAAATTCACGATCAGATTATTATTAAAGTCTTGTATTGTGTGACATGTAATCAATGGAAAATAAAAGGTTTGCCCACAATCTGGGCTTATGATTTTTTAACCAATGTATGCGTGTATAAGTGGATTAAAGCATTTAAAGTTTTAGGTTTACTAAATAAGACCCAATTCTCGAAGATGCTCTGGAATAACTACATATGGGTCTTCATAGTACCAAACATATCTTAAAACAATCCAGTTTTCTTCACACAATTCATTCTTGAGTTGATCCCGCTTTTGCTGTCGGACAAAATTATTGGGATCTCTTCTGTGAAAGAATTCAATATATTTTTCATGTTGTTGCCCTTGTACTTCAATTGCAAAGCCATAATTATAATATGGGACATCAAGTTGTAATCCAGTTGGATGTTCTGGTGTTTTTAAAAAATCTGGTTTACGATTTTCAGATGGTAATCCAAGATATTTGGTTACAATTTCACGGCATAGTTTTTCACGTTTATATTTGGAACAATATGGACACCACGTACCTATAATTTTTATACTCCAAAGTGATGCATTCCATAAATGTCCATTAGCACATTTCCATAATAATTTTGATCGGGTATTAATATATTCTTTAGAAAGGCATTCTCCATTCCGATTAAAAGCAATTTGTTTAGCAAGTTCAATAGTATGTCGAATATTACCTGCACAATATGGGCACCATGTACCTTTATTTTTTATTCCACTTAAAGAGGCATACCATTCATGTCCTTTAGTACAACTCCATAGTAAATCAGTTTCAAGATTTTTATATTCGATTGAAAAGCATTTCCCATTTCTACTATGTGCAATTTGTTCAGCAATTTCAAGAGTATGAGGAATTACACCGGCACAATGTGGACACCATCGCCCAGCTTTTATACTACTAAGTCTTGCATACCATTCATGCCCTTTGATACAGCGCCATAATAAATTAGTATCACAATTTTTATATTCGGTTGAAAGGCACTCGCCATTTTTATCATAAGCTATTTGTTTAGCAATTTTAAGAGTAAGTGGTCTCCTGTGTGTGCAATCCGGACACCAGGTATTTTTATATTTTATACTAATAAAATTAGCAGTCCACTTATGTCCTTTATCACATCGCCATAATAAAGGTGATTTATTATTAATATATTCTTCTGAAAGACATTTACCATTTTTACTACGTACCAATTCTTTAGCAATTGAGATATTAAGTCTAGTATCAGAACAAGTAGGACACCATGTCTTACCATTTTTTATACTGTGAAATTTAGCAGTCCACTCATGTCCTTTTGTACATTTCCATTTTAATGGAGTATTACAATTAATATAATTATTAGAAAGACATTGGCCACCTCGACTCTTAGCAAATTTAGAAGCATCATATATAGAATATTTGATTTGAAATGGCATTGAAAAATTGGAATATTTTTTAAATAAAAAATTAGATCTTTAATATTTGATGGCTTCAGAACTAGCTCAATATTACCAATTATTATAGACAGTTTGAGAAGAAATGCATCAAATCTATAATGTATAGCTTAATTTATTATAATACATATTCATTTATTTGATTTAATCTATTTTAAAGCTGGTAATATTTTTTACTTTGATTTTTATATACAGTGTTTTACTCGGTACAAAAAAACCCTAATGTAGATAATAAATCATGTTTGTTATTTTACATCTACTCTAACTACAAATCGGCAGGATTCGATCAGCTCTTAAAATAGAGTGGCGAGTAGGATGTATTTTATTTCTGCTAATAAATATTATTATGATTTAATCAATAAAAGAAATCGCGCTCCATTACTGTG